TGTTACAATGAAGGCTTGAGCTTTATGACAAATACTACAAAGCAAAATCAACACTTTCCTAAACATATTTTAATTTTTTGACTACCAATGGCTTTTCAAAAAATTAATATTGTATTTCACAAACAATTTTAGCGAACTATATGCGATTCTACTATTAAAAAAAAAAAATAATTCTGTAAAAAAGGAGTTCCGAACATGTAGGCAAACATATGCACATAACGTTCAAATATTATGCGCATAATATGTATTTAATGCGCATCCAAATTTAACAGATGATTGGTATGTGAAATTAACTGAATATTGTCAAATACAAAAAAATATATATATAATCAAAACCAGGTGACTTTAAATTGAAAGATATAATTATTTATTTATTTTCTGTAATTAATTACATTAGAAAATATTTCAAATCATTTACTTTTTAAGCAAGTTTTTATATCACAAAACGTAACTATTAAATTTATTTTTGAATTGCATTTGCTCATTTATACTTTTTTTAGATCAGTGACATTTGTTTCTTTTTCTAAAATACGGTCAATTTTGTTGTTTGTATCTTTCAAAACACTATTGGTATATATAAAAACTAATTATTTTACGAGTTTTTTTTTCGAGCAATTTCTTGATCGTGAATGATTAAGCCTAAAACTTAATTACGTTGACATTGCTTTTGCTGAAAAATAAATATTATCTACAATAGATTTCGTAACTTTAAAGTCTGGTAATAATTCTGACGATCAAAAATGTTCTAATAATTCTTTGCGCTCATTTTGAATATCCTCTTCTTTTTTCTCTCTCAGTTGTATTTCTCTAAAAAACTCAAATCACTTTCAACTGTTTTCGCATTTGTTTAATTTGTTTTGAAAGTTATTTCTGAAAGTTAATTGATTATATCACTCTAATCCTCACTAATATAAAATACTTCTGCAGCATACTTCGGTGTTTAGTGGCTTTATAATCGTTTTCTGAATAACTTCCTTATTTGCGAATTTATTTTACATTACACCAAAAACAATAGTACACTAAAAATAATGGATCATTATCTTTAAGTCTTCTAATGATATTAGAAGAATAATCATTATCTTCACGAGTTTTTCTAAATTATCCAAGAAAGCATTTGATATTATTAGCGTCAAAACAGCGACGGAATTTGTTTTTCGAGCGCAATTTCTTTCAAAGACGCATTTTTTACTTTAGCCAGTTGAATCAATACATACTTTGCCATATAAAAGTTGTTCATTGAATTAAATTAACTGAGCTTTCGAGTCAGAAAAGACATTGTAACTAAGCTAGGAATATTAGCAGCAATTCTTATTTTGTCAAACTTTGCTTTAATATTGCGATGATTTTTCACAAACTTGATGATTTTTTCAGCTTTCTTTGATAGTCTTCGAACCTTCAGCAGTACTCTAAATGTTCTTAACGAGTATTCAAAATACTTAACGACAGTACTCTAAATGTTCTTAACGAGTATTCAAATTACTCAACAACAGTACTCTTAATGTTCTTAACGAGTATTCAAATTACTCAACAACAGTACTCTAAATGTTCTTAATGAGTATTCAAATTACTCAACGACAGTACTCTAAATGTTCTTAACGAGTATTCAAATTACTCAACAACAGTACTCTAAATGTTCTTAACGAGTATTCAAATTACTCAACAACAGTACTCTAAATGTTCTTAACGAGTATTCAAATTACTCAACAACAGTACTCTAAATGTTCTTAACGAGTATTCAAATTACTCAACGCCAGTACTCTAAATGTTCTTAACGAGTATTCAAATTACTCAACAAAAGTACTCTAAATGTTCTTAACGAGTATTCAAATTACTCAACAACAGTACTCTAAATGTTCTTAACGAGTATTCAAATTACTCAACAACAGTACTCTAAATGTTCTTAACGAGTATTCAAAATACTCAACGACAGTACTCAAAATGTTCTTAACAAGATTTATACAATGTGCTGCACAACCAGTAATTTCCAAGCAGCTTTCATTACTCAAACGTTGCCAGTTTAATGCTTCTGAGATTCATGGGCCGAAATTCTTGATTACTTCATTGGTGGACCAGCAACAACTGCAGCTTTTTAAATTATGTCTGATGTGTTGATTGAAGAATAGAACACGGTTTTGTATTTGGTGCATACCCAGCTAACATAAAACGTTCAACAAACGTGGCGAACGTTCAAGAACGTTCTATGAACGTTCTTGGAACGTACTTAAACATCCACAATGTTTGTTGAACGTTCTTGAACGTTTTGTGTTAGCTAGGTAGACACAAAAACTCAATATAAGAGTGCCTCCAATATTTATCCAACCATCTTAGATAAGCGTTTAATTTTCAGATGATTTGAGAATATCTTTCAGTTTAGCGTAGCTTTCTACGTCCTTTTTATCAAAAAGCGAACCTGACAGCGTCTTTACAAACGGTATCGATGATGCATATTATGGTTTAAGTGGTTTGATCAAATTTATAAAAGCATAAGATTCAACGAGAAAAAGAGATATTCTAATTTGTAAAAAACAATTTAATAATTTAATATCAATTTCTTTTTTTAATTATTCAGAATTTATTACAAAGTTGACCACTATGTATTAGCTGAGGTTATAATTTCTTTATTGAAATTAATCAATGATTTCTCAGACAGCAAAGATATACTGATCCGATAATGGCTAGCCTCTGCCAGCGTTAGCGTAACGTTTTTAGGCATCTAACTAACTTATTTTTTACAAAATAAGTTAGTTTAGATGCCTATAAACGTTATTAAATAAATATTTTCAAAGAGTTCTGCAAAACTTCATAAAAATTATTTGTTTTTAAACACATTTTACCAAGAGTTTCTACTAACAATTTTTTTGAATTACGTTGCTCTTAAAATACGTAATAAGCATATTAAGGAGTTTGATAAACAGTTGTAGCATATATTTATAGTAAAAAAGTAGCAAAATAAACTTTATTTGAAAAAAGTTTTATCTAGCTTCGGGCTTTTTTTTTTTTTTTACTTCACAGTATCACCTTTTTGAGCAGCAGGACTTTCTAAAGTTTTTTCTTCATTAAGTTGCAGACAATTTTTTTTCAGACCATCCGCAGCTTATTAGAACTAATTACCTAAGCATATTATTAACATAAGTGTCTCAATCATCATACATACGCAACACGTTTTTCCTCCCGGTGGTGTTTTTATTTTTTATGTATAATGAAATTTTAGCTTTCTTAAATCTTTTCTTTGGTGAAAGTGTATAATATCGTTACGTTACATATGCTTGTATATAATCTTTATAAAACTTCAAAATTAGTTTGTATTTTAAAGTAATCAAAAAAACATTAAAACAAAAAATCGCCATTGGTGGGAATCGAACCTTGGCTTACTTGTTCAGAGGCTCGGCGCCTTTTCCACTCAGCCACGCTGGCGCATTCTTAAGTGAACATTATTAAAACAATTTAATGATTTTTTGAAGGGAAAAAATGTTATAAGTCAAAGTTAAGGAGAGCTTGACGCAGTGCAATTTTCAGGTGAATATCAAACTGCAAAACTTGATAAATGTTTCAGTATGTTTTAACAAATGTTTTAACATAACTTAACTTAAAGTTTAAGTACGTTATATATTTGGATACGCGTTTGTTCACATTTTTTTATAAAACAAAGTGCTGTAACTCTTTCTCGCCACTACTTCGCTCGAAACGGCTGCCAAGAGAACCGTGTCAAACAGGCCTGAAAGCGCACTACTACACTACTACTACTACTACTACTACTACTACTACTACTACTACTACTACTACTACTACTACTACTACTACTACTACTACTACTACTAACACTACTATTAAGTTGGGCAAAATTATATAATAGATTACATGTACATGTATGTAACGATGTAACTGACGAATGATTGATATTTATAAAAAAAACAAAAACACTTATAGAAATGTTGGATTGATAAAAAAAGGAAATACATAAAATGTATGGTTATTATTGCAAAGTGTACTTTAAAATTTTGCTTTCTTATATTATCTTTTTATTGTCTTATTCATAATTATTTTTGTAATATAATTTGAGTGTAATTAACACATTTATCTTTAATATTCTTATAATATACTAGGAACAAAATAAAGATAACATTTTCTTTACAAATATATAGTATAAAAATGTTATTGTGTTATGCAAAATTATTGAAGTTGAAAATATGGATGCCTAAGTAATACAAACATATGAAGCACTAGATAGGAAGAGTTACCAAGTCTATATATCAAGATTTAAACACGTGAGTGTATTTAGCAAAATAATTATAAGAACTTGTTGTTGACTTTGATTTAACTTTTTTTCTTGGAGTTTAATCAATTTTACTTATAATCTAATTTGCTTACTTAAAAATACAATAAACATATAAATATATTTTGATTTAAATTGTTTACTTATAAATACAATAAACAAATAAACCAACAAAGTTGTAATATTATTAGTGTAAATCTAACAAAAGTAGACTTTAACAGCTTTTCACAGTTTTGTATGTAATTATCGTAGAGTGTTACGTATAGAATTAAGATTTTAGCTTTAACAACATCTAGTTATAAATGGTTTTATTTGTTGGCTATTCTATTTATGAAAAAATTATGTTGACCTTTTGATTATTTGAATTGTTGTTTAAATATTATTTATTATTGTCTTTTGTAGTATAATCTGTTATAAATATTGGAGCATTATGCCAAATTATTACACCCAAGTCATTAACATAATAACAACTTGTTAAATAAAAACCGAAATTTAAAAAATTATTTATTTAGGTGCTCCCAGTAGTCCTTACGGTCTTATGACAGAGCTCCGCAAAAGCATTTAAGTTCACACCTCCTTCCATACAAATGTCGCTGGTTGGACTAGAGCAGGCGTTAAACATCGGATCTCTGAGTTCTGAGTAAGAAGTCTAACCACTGCGTCACGACCGCTCAAATTGTAGTATCAAATTATAAAAAATTAAATTTATTGCTATTTAAAAATTTACCTTATGTCCTTTAAATTTGCTACCAAAATTTGTTACGCCTTGATTAACTGATATAGCTTAACAAATTTAACGTCTGATTTAACTTAAGTTTATTAAATTTGCAACGTCTGAAAAATTTATACATTTCATACCTACAAAAAACTGAAATCATATGATTCTCATAAGTTATTCAGTCTTACATAGTTTATTATTTTGCACAGTTGTAAACAAATAATAAACTAGATTAACTGTTTACTAGATTACGATTACGATTGAGAATAGAACAGTTTTGTAACGCCTCGTTTATTTGCACGTAAACTGTTTACGTTTAAATAAAAGTGGTAAACAAAAATATTAAAGCAGGATTTTCAACTGCGTAATTAAAAAAGAAAATTTTAATACCTAAACAGAAAGTGTATTTAAAGAAAATTAGAAAGTGTTTCGTGCTATTTGTTTAAAGTCGTAAAACAAGTGTTTATTTTATTTTGACAAAAAACAATATGTTTTTAAAATATCCTGTTCAACAGTTGAATTAAAAAATTGCTTAAAGCAGATATTTAACATAACCAAGTATTAGTAAGGAGTTATAATAGCGTAGCTGTAGTTAAAAACAAGATAGAATTTGTTATTAATCGATTTTGCAAATCTAAAAGACTTTTTTTTTCGACATCGAAAAGAAGTTTTTTTTATCTTAATCTTGTCATAAAAAGACATAAAAAATGCGTCTTTAAGGCGTCTTTTTACAGGCAAATATGCAAACCCAAAAAATAATAAAAAAATGTTTAATAATATAAATATATCAAACAAACAAAAAAATTTTATATAATAAAAAATAAAATATTTAATTATTTATTTTATATCCTTATATATTTTAATATTTACGAATTAATTTTACTATTCTTCATTTAGTATTTATTATTATTATATATTTGAGTCTGCACGAGACACGGATAAAAAACTTTTAACAAACTTAACAATTTAACTTATCAAATTTAACAAACTTATCAAACTTAACAAATTAATAAACTTTTTCAGTCTATCAAAAAACAAAGCTGAACGTGTTATCGTAGAAATGATGATAAGTTACTAGTTTTATAAAAATTTACAATCTTGATCTTTTATACAAAACTTGACTATGGGTACAAAAAACAATTACTGGCAACGCATCAAATCTCTATGTATCTTATTTGCATATTATCAATGTTTTTTGAACAAAGATTGTTGTAGCACAACTAGAAAAATTCAAAAAAAATTACTCCATTAGAGGTCTTTCATAAAGTACGTACGCTCGGAGGTGAAGAGGGGATTTTCAAATCGCGTATATGAGATGGGAAGGCAGTGGTTCAATTAAAAAAGAAAGGAGAAACTAAACTAAAAAAAATATATTAAAATGTTAGATGAATAGGTTTAAAGTGTTGGTACTTTTAGGGAGGTGGAGGGTACTCAAAAGAGCGTATTTTATTACCTCAGGAAAAATATTTTTTCAACACAGGTTTCCTGGTGACTCAAGTTTATATACGTTTATTAACGTATATATTCCCCAGTAGGCACACGACGTTATTTCGACGTTGATTTACTATTGATTTTTAGTCGCGACGTCGTATAACCAAATATCGACGTTGAATCAACGTTGAAAAATTTGTTTAAAACTATCAAATTAAATCGACGTTGATTCCACGTTAATTCAACGTCTATATTACGAGTTTGACCGTTCGTAATTGCAATATGAGAACTAAAATACGCATGCGTGACTTAAATTTTTTTCATTAGCATAACAAATAACAAGAAAAGACTTAACAAGTTACTTATTAGCCCAATGAAAACAAGTAAAGTCACACATGCTAATAAATTAGGCCATCTGTTGCCTTTTTTTAAGGTTTTGAATTAGAGAATTTAACAATAATACATGGCTTAACTTGTGATGCAGTTAGTTAGGTAAATATTAAATGGATATTTCTTTATTACCGTATTTACTTCATTAGTGTGGATTACGCGTAGAGATTACTTGAGTTATTTTTTCAGTTTTTTAAGTAAGTTTTTTTTTAGAGTAAAATTAAATTGTTTTAGTATGTATGTTAGTATATTTGACAATACTAGTTTGTGTATGTATATATATATATATATATATATATATATATATATATATATATATATATATATATATATATATATATATATATATATATATATATATATATATATATATGTATATATATATATATATATATATATACATATATATATACATATTTATATATATATATATATATATATATATATATATATATATATATATATATATATATATATATATATATATATATATATATATATACATATATATATATATATATATACATATATATATAAATATATATATATATATATATATATATATATATATATATACATATTTATATATATATATATATATATATATATATATATATATTTATATATATATATATATATATATATATATATATATATATATATATATATATATATATATATATATATATATATATATATATATATATATATATTATTATTATTGTTATTATTATTATATTTTCTTTGCCGTATAATTAAATTTACAATGAGAAAAAACCATTCATGTATAAAAATTGGCCGGAGCAAGAAGAAGACATAAACTGTCTTATCGCCAAGCCCCGTTTACATTAACGTCACAAAGTTACAAGGTAAAAATTAAAAGGTTAAAAATTGAAGTACAATACAATATTAGTTCTACAAATATAAGACACAAGTAATAATTCGAATAAATGTTATTTGTCTGTTCAAAATTTATAGTATATACATTTTTTATTTTAATAAGAAATAAACAAGATACACAAGACAATAGTAAATGAGTAGTGATGACATTTTCAGGTTTAATTATTTTAGGTGATTTTAGAAGAAATCTTTAAAATCGAAAGTTTTTTCTAATAGAAAACGTTTAGATTTTCTTTTGAATTGTTCTAAGGAGATGCCTCGAAGAATTTTATTTTTAATTATATTTTTTAAAAAACCTTTCCATATAAATGGTCCCCGGTATTGAATATGAAATGAATTGAGTTTTAAATAAAATCTTGGAATAACAAAATTATCAGATGAAAATTTAGTGGGATATTTATGAGATATTTCGGTAAAGTAAGACTGAAATATATTAGGAGATAACGCATGTTTTGTTTTAAACGTAAATAGCGTAACTTGGTATATATTAAGTTTGTAAATATTAAGCACATTAAGTTTTTTTAAAAGAGATTCACCATTAACAGTTCTGTTAACGCCAAAAATAATCCTACAAGCATGTTTTTGTTTGCTATAAATTTTTTTGAGCTTCCCATAATTGGTACTTGCCCATGCAAGATTTGTAATCTTGCATTGTAATCTTAGGAAAGATAACTATGAATAAATGAGAAATATATAATTTTTAAAGATTCCGTATTAAGAAAAGGTTTAACTTTATATAGCATTGAAATATTTTTGGAGATTTTATTTTCAATAGATCTAATATGATATTTCCATGATATATTTTCATCTAATATCACTCTTAGAAAGTTAATAGTTGACTCTCTTTTAATAACTTTTTTGTTCATAAAGAGATCAGGTAGTTTTAAAAAAAGGTTATCACCTTTACTAGGTTTGTGAAACAACATAAATTTAGTTTTCCCAACATTTAATGAAAGTTTATTATTCGTAATCCATTCATTTATTTTTAATAACTCTTCATTAAAAATTCTAAACAGATCTTTAATATTTCTGTTAGAGTAAAAAAGATTTGAGTCATCAGCAAACAAAATAATGTTTAGAATTTTGGATGCTAAATACAAATCATTAATGAACAGTATGAATAATAAGGGCCTTAAGATTGATCCCTGGGGAACACCTCAAATTATGATGTTTTTTTTCTTCATTTTCTGTATATATTATGTATTGTTTCCTGTTTGAAAGGTAACTTTTAAACCATTGTAAGTTATTGTTTAATACTCCATACATTTCTAGTTTTTTTATTAGAATATCATAATTAACAGTGTCAAATGCTTTTGAGAAATCAATAAAAACTCCTAATGTATAGCAATCATTATTAAACCCGTTGGATACATAATTTATTAGATCGACTACTGCATGGTCCGTTGAATGATTTTTTTTAAACCCAAATAGTTTATTATACAGAATATTGTTCTCAGTTAAATAGTTGTTAAGTCTATCATACATAATTCGTTCTAACAATTTAGAGAAACATGGTAAGACAGAAATAGGTCTATAATTGGACATATTTGTATCATCACCATATATATATATATATATATATATATATATATATATATATATATATATATATATATATATATATATATATATATATATATATATATATATATATATATATATATATATATATATATATATATATATATATATATATATATATGTATATATATATATATATATATATATATATATATATATATATATATATATATATATATATGTGGGTGTGTATGTGTAATAAGATAATAATTCTCAACCAGGAGGTAATCCACTGTAAAGGGTGGTAGCCCTCCTATATCAAACAATAAACTGTCAATTTTTGGCAGAAGAAATCTGGACAGCCTTTGGTTAAGGAAACCATTCAGCAACTTCAAAAATATTGCACGAATAGTGTGGTAAAATCTCACAATTTCTGTTATCGCTTTCTAATCCGATAAATAATATTGAGAGGAACGAAAAACTAAAAAAAAAAAAAACTAAAGTACGACCGCTTGCAACAATTAGAGTCAGAGAAAATGGTTAATGTAGAATTAATAAATCAGTTAAAAATTGACATTGCACAATCTAGCTCTGTCAAGCAATCGAATACTAACAACTGGATTCAAGTTCAAAAATCAGGAAAACAAGCTAAGAAGCCAAACAATCAATTTATTATAGCAAATTTTACTTATTCTAGTTAAATGAGCCTAAAAAGAGAGCCTAAATTCTAGTTAAATGAGCCTAAAAAGAGAGCCAAAAATATTGTTATTTATGGAGTGGCAGAATCAGATAAAGTTTCTTTAGATAATAAAATAGCTGAAAATAAAGCAAAAGTGTTGCAAATATTTACAGAAATCGAAGTTAAAGACATAAAATTTGAGAATGTGAGACGATTTAGAAGTAAAAATTCTGAAAAGCCAGGTCCTTTGTTGATTTACTTGGCTGATTCCACTTTAAGAAACAAAATACTAATTTCATCAAAA